AGGCATGAAGGGAAAACCCCTTTTTTGCTAAGTAATTTGTGCCTAAGATTTGCCAATGAGAAAAGAAAAGGAGTAAGATATAAGGTTGTGCCACAAATGTTTCGCTTATGTAATTAGCGTGGTCCTCCACTCCATACGGGTGGAGTCATTATGTGTCCCCATAATGGGAAGAAAAGAGAAATTAGCTACTTTGATGCAATGGACTTTGAAAACTAATGTTACAGTACTTTGCAATAACTACTACAGCAACTCCACCCTTCAGAATCACCTAGAAGCCCACAAGGCCACATCACTGTATAATTCCAGGGAGCATTATGTACCTTGTGTTCTATGCTTGGAAAATTCCTTTGGGTGCATTTTCATCAAAATTACATTACATAAATTAAATTCATCAAAATTAGAACTCATACTGGCATCATTCTAGGGTTGATGCAGCCTAATTTATTTACTCTTAAGAATGTCCAGGCTCAAATCACATTTTCTATAATCTTGGTATCATACTAAAAATCAAATCTGAGTTAAAATACAAACTTGTTTTGAGGTGGCAGGGGAGGAGGAGGAAGAGTGCGAGGGGGAAATACTCTATTAGAATCTCTTTGGTTCACCTCCACATAAAAATGGAATGGCTTAGGTAGCAGAGAATATATATAAGCCACTAGATTTCTCCACACATTATTATCTCCTTTAGGTTTCAACAGCACTAGCTTTTTATTTATCAGAAAGCAAAATAACTGAATTATAACTTAGCTCAAAGGAGAAAATATCTATATTGAGATAGGATTTAAGGATGCATTTTTTTTGTTTTTCTAGAGTCCCCAAATAAGAAACACTAACATTTGTTAGAGAGATTAAAGAACATTTCTGTACTCTCTCAAGTCACAATGAAGACCACAATGCTGTACGTTACCTAGTGTCCCCCTCCAGGCCTATGGCATAAATCTCATTAGGGGAAGGGTCTGAGAACCTGTCTTTTTAACAAGAGCCCCAGGTGGTTTATATTACTGGACATATTTGGAAAACTTTAGGTTAGATGAGCCCTAAAGTCTTTCCGTGTGATATTTTGGCAATCCTGATAAAAATTAAATTACTATTGTAGAAATGGCATTCATACTGCCATACAGAAGAAATTAACTTCTGCTCATATAGTTTTTAAAATACTTAGCACACTGAATGGACCCAAACTATTTACACTTCTGTCTTTCCCAGGAAAGGGTGCTGTCCATAAGGGTCGAAACCATGTTTTAGTACTGTTTATGGCCCTCCTGAAAAACACTGCCTGACACAAAGCAGATGCTTACTAAGTTTTGAATGAATGATAATCTCAACTGCAGCAGCTAGCTGTCAATCTTATCCAGATAGTATTCCCTCCATTCAGGCTCTGCAGTGCCAAAAAGCAATCCCCAGTACCCTAACTTAGAACATTAACGAGGCGGCAAGATTAAAATAAAAACCAGTGATTCTATACTCAAAATCAGCACTTATTGTTTGAATGCATGATCAAGACAGTAGTATTTAGTACTTGATGTCAACTACATTTGCATAAGGTTGGAGAACTTTTATGAGAATGGTGTCAATGCTTGGGGAAAATAAGAATTCACACTATACCAGGACCAGTTTTCAAGACAAACATAAATACTCTGTCCGAGAAACTGACTATTGAAGAATTTCCATAATACATGGAGTGAGTCTGTTTTTCTGATGCATAACTGCTTAGAGCTCTTTGTGGAACACAAGCAAAATAAGAGGATGGCAATTGCATAAGACCAATTTAATTCTCTTTTTAGATTGTTAAAAAAAAAAAGGAGACATAAGAAAAACAATTTTTCTAAGACAAACAATTAGGTTATTTCTCATCAGTAGAATATATGTGGTGCCATAACACACCAACTAATAGCAGAATAACATGTTTATGTTTGTGGCCGAACATTTGCCTTTATATATGCAAAGTGTATTTCAGGTCTCTAATCATAGCTTGTACTTGCAATGAATAGAAAAGATTTCCACCCACCTGGCCCAGTTGTTATGACTTCCCTCAATTCAGATTTCATTCATAAAAACTTCCTAAACAGAATTAAGACCTCTGTATAATGCTGTTCTCACCAGAGCAGACATATTTATAAGAAAGAAAGTACACAAAGAAATGAAGGGTTCTAAAGTCCAGAGAGCTTCACACAGGAGTTGTATCATTTATCACCCACTTTTCCCTTCTCCTAACTGAACCATTATCATGGCTGGCAAGAACTTCCTCATCGAAATAGCAGTCTCAGAGGATATTTTCATATCATAAAGTCAAGGTTATGCTGAATTCAGTGGTCAGATATTACTAGTTGTGAGCCACTGTCAGGTATATGTAGAAGTTGTCCAAGTCTTTGGAATTATTTTACTTTATTTTTTGAAAGAGAGTCCAATGTACTTGACCATCTTATGCACTACAATACATTTACATATAGAAACTTTGCCGTTTTTTAAAAATGCTACAAGTTGTTATCATCTTGAGTATAAGAAGCTGAGCTATACATAGCATTCCTGCCTTCTCCATATGCACCGTGAAGCATGGATTCACATTCACACTCACATTACACAACTAACAACCTATGCTGGGTGGACAGGAAGATTCCTATTTAACCTCAAAACCCCATTTAATCATGTCTCTTTCTTCTCCCTCAGGAGAAGTTAGGTGCATGCATTCATCTGTTTTCATTCTCTCTTTTAACTTACAAAGTTCAGTAAGTGTCACTTCCGACCATCTGTTGATTACATACTCATATATACACCATTTCTATAGCTTTCTTGCCCAATATGCTTTACCTCTTAAACAGTTACCTCAACAATAACAAAAAGCTCACCCCCAAACTCTGTTCCACATATAAGATGAGAAAATGAAGAATAATATTACCCTTACACAGACCTTCCCCAAAACATTACTTTTAGAATAACATTAGATGTAATACAGACCTACCTGAGAAATTCTCTAAGGTACACATAGCTCATACTAAGAATCACCATAAAATGTCTCACTTGTTTATCTTTCTGCCAGTTGATCCACTTTTCTTTAAGCATGTAGAATTTTAAAATATTTCTTATTACATTACATTGGTTCTCTTTTTCAACTAAGGTTGTCAAAATATTTCTGTCCATTCACTGCAAGCTAGTTACCTTTAAATAAGCTTTGATAGGCTAAACTGGGAATCTCAACACTTATCATAGTGTTCTAATGGGATCATGTGTTTCTCATTAAAAACAAATAGGTTCAAATCTATACATGTTAGAAAGATGGTAAAGAAAGACCATAGAAACACTGAATAAAAAGTCTAGTTTCTGGTCCTGAGAATTAAATACAAGCCCTTATATATATTCTAGACAGTAACTTCTAGAAATGGAGGAACTTTTCTGCCACTTTTGTAATTAACCGATTTGTTCCTATTGCTTTTAGTATGTTTTTTTAATGATTCCAACTCATTCTACCACAAGAAAAAAAATTGGTTCTAAATTAAACGTCTCTGTCAAATTATGCAATTTTTAAACATTAAATTTATTTATAAATGAATATATATATATATATATATATTTAAAATGCAATATATACATTTTATATTTATATAAAAAATGCAAACATGATTTTAAGTTCATCTCAATAGAAAGGACAAGAATACTATAACTGTGATGAGCCTTGCAGCTCACACACAGGGCTGTCTGTGAAGGTGAGGTGGGGAGTAGGTGGGGGCAGGGCAATGAACAGGTATAGCAGGCTAGACCAGTGGTTCCCAAAGTGTAGTCCCCAGGCAGCAGTAGCATCAATCTGCAAATATTACAATTATTGGACCCTATCTCAGACCTACTGAGTCAAAAACTATGGGGACAGGGTTTGTTTTTAACAAGCTCTCCCAACGATGCTAATGCATGCTAAAGTTTGAGAACCACTGGGCTACAAGGACTAGGAGAAGTGCCCTAGGTAACTCTTCATCTGCTTATCCAGGTGACGATGCCATGTATAAATCATGATTGTGACTAAAGACTCTGAAATAGCTTTTCCACATCATTTAGAACGAACAATCACAGTTATACTCTCCAACAATTTTAGTTCCAAGTTCAACATACAAGCTGGTGACCTGTTGGAGATATGGGGAAAGACTGATGAGACTGAAATTTCAGAGCAGCTAATCTGGTGTGGCACTCCATAGAGTGAAAATTGTGGCAAAATACTTTTCCCTTTATAAACTGTGAATATAATATTACATTAGTTTCAACCTTGGAGGTTGGATAACTCAAGGATATCTGTATGCTGAAAAAAAATTTAAATATATTGAAATAAATTCTTCTATAATAATCCAAACAGAAAATGCTCTTTAAATGTATTTAAGCTAAGCATGTGATATCAGACTTCACTCCATCATTCTGAAGACTTGGATTGTGTTTGTTCCAAAAGTGACACCCAATTCCTGTAGGAATGGGTGTTGGCAGTGCAGATCACAACACTGCATGAGCCACACATCACACCAGATTCGGAGGAAGCAGGTGCTGAGATTAGAATTAAATATGTAGATAGGAAACAGGAGTGACAGCAAAGAAGGGTGGGGAGAAGAAATCTCCTTCCTGTGTGTCAAGAGATGAAGGACGTTTGAATCCACAAGCTCACTTCCAAAGCCCGCAGCAGAATTTGGAAGCATACGGGCACATATTACGTCAGGGAGGCTATGGGTGTGAATTAGGTGCCTATAACTCATATGTAAACTATTTACAACTTCATAAAATTTAACCCAAATGCTACATTAGAAGCAGAGGAATTAAAGCCCCGCACTAAGATAACAATGCAAATGAAATTAGTTTTGGAAAGCAAACTGGGCTATGTAAGAGAGGACTAGCTATAGAACACAAATTTCAAAATTCATGATATCAACCGATCATTATTCTTCCATGACTTAAATTTTTGGTTTAAGGCAACACAAGGCAACATCTTCCACATCAAGTTTGTTAATGGTTTAAAAAGCGATCAGACTGACCGGGCTGCACTGGCGAGCTCATCATGGGAATCAGAAGGGCTGAGGGGCTGGGATGTGGATTGACAGGCTCCCTTCAGTTGGCCACGTTGGTCCCCGAGAGGCTGGTATAAGAGAAACCTACAATGCAAAAAAACGGACGTGTGTGACACAGGTTATGTCAAGCCACAAAGGAAAAGAAACACAGAGTCTCAGCTCAGCCACAGCTCGCTCGACCGTGGGTCTTTGAGGCAGTCACATCAACTTCCCGAACGTCTTAAATCTTCATTATAATTATTTCCATATATATCATCTATTACAGGTAAATAGATGTTATTTATATGTACATAAATTTTGTTTATATATTACAGTTTTATCTATAAAAGGGCAAATTTACCAGTCATGCTTAAAGCACGGGAATATTGTGAACACCAAAATTAAATAGCAGGTGTGGATGGCATCTGTGAGCGGGAAAGCACTTCACAAAATTATAATTAGTTTCCTATTTACTAGTCACCATAATTTATTTGCTGTTATCATTATCATAGAAATTTATTTTTTTTTTCAAATTTCGGATGTAAGTATCTCATCACATAGTATTTTTATCACTGTCAAATATTTCCTTCTAGAGATAAGACCTCAGGGCCAAATAATTTTAATGGACTAAAAAAGGAACAAATAAGTCATAAACTACAAGAATGACAGAAAACTCCCATTAAAATTTCCATCTCTTCTTGAAGTATTTTGTAATCTTGTTCCAGTCAAAAGTAACAACATCCACAGTGTTTTAAGAGTGGCACTTACAGGATGGGCTTCTTGAAAGGAATTTAAGGGGATTTCTGCTTCTGACTTAAATGTACTCTCACTAATAGGCATTTCAGCAAAAGAAAAGCAATTGGAAGGACATTCTCCTCACAGTTTACTGGAATTTGTCAAAGTTTAAAAAAAGAAGAGGAAAAAGAAGCAGCTTTTAAAGTTGCACTTAATGAGTTTCTTACTAAAATAGAATAGCCCGATTGCACTATTTTTATACACAGAATACTGTAACTCTGAGAATTATACATCTCTTTATCTTGAGAATCCAACATATTTACCATGATTTGTTTTCTCATCAGTATTTTGAAAAGTGTTATTACTATTTTTTTGCCCAAATGTATAAAGCAAGATATAAATACGTATTTGTTTTGAAGAACTATATAACCTCACCAAGAGTACCTATAATACTTCAACTCTCTTAAGAGAATTATGCTAGTTATTAAAACAGTTAAATAGAGTCATCAGTTGTAGCAGGCTATTTCACATCTTTAGTATTGGATATATATTAAGACAGTGACAAAAATACATATATTTTTATAAATCTTCAAAAGTTATACTAATATGTGTATTTTATCAGCATTATTTAAAGAATCTTAATTTCTATGTTGATGAGGAAGCAGTATTTCTTTAAAAAATGAAAAATGAAGAGCATAAATTTCTTTTGATTTGTATATCAGCAAACAGATATTCGGACATTGCTTCTAAATAAAAAGATGTCAGTGTCATATATTAAAGTAAAAAATAATTTGCATAATTCTTCATAGTTACAAAGCACTTTTAGACATATGCTATTTGATATCATTTTCACATCAACCATGCTAATAGATGCTTGTTAACTCTCCCTGCCCTCCTGTCTAGGTGAGAAAAATTCAAATGTCATCTGCTTCATACTTAAAAGGTAATCAAACAAAATCAAAATTAAAATTGAGTGATATTTAAATTTATAGGGTATCTAAAACTAATGAGTGTGGACTTTGAGATTTTTGTCATTTTTACTTTTTTGCAGTCTGAAACATTTCATAAATGTTCTTGCGACATTCTTGATGCTCAATGGCACAGTATGATTTTAAATGAAGAATAACAAAACCAAGGGACAGGAAACCTTAAGAGAATGTAAGTAAAGCAGCACTGAAAGATGCCTTCCATCCAAGGCACAGATATTTTGCTTAAAGAAAATCTTTTAATCTATAATGTCACTTTATACAATTGATACTTGTATATTTGCAAATACAACTCAGTTTAACAATAATGTCCAACAGTTTACAGTGGTAATACTAAAGCAAAGTTTTGCTACTTGTCCCAAAATCTAAAATTATAAAAGATGTGTTTCTATTTTCACACATTTCTGCCATTCATTTCCACAAACATATATAACAATGATTCATGACATGCTGATTCATGGCTAGTTACAAAATTGTTGGGTTCTGCCTTCACAGTCCTATACTTGAGTTGCAAAGTGAATCTCAGCTGGAAATATAAATTTGGCTTCCAAAATATCATCGTTAAATACCTTCTTAAAATTTAAACTATTCTCTTTGCTATTCAACCTTTTTAGTAACTTCCTAATCATCATATATTCTTCTCATTATGAAAGCCTTGTTATCTGAACAATTATAAAGAAAATTAGTATGCATTTCTATGTTGATATGTTCTATTGGGTTGTCGGAAAAGTCATGACGCATTTTTGCAACGAAAAACATAGAAAAAAATAGGTCATGACTTTTCCGACAACCCAATAGTTTCCAGTTATTGCATCTCCATTTCTAACGAGCCACATTAAAACAAAGTTATCACAACTATAGCTGCATAACTGAAATATGGTAATTTAAAGAGCTCTCCTAAATGTTTCAGGGGTATCATCCTTTACACATACGTACATGCACAGTATGAGAGTGTGTGTGTGTGTGTGTGTGTGTGTGCGCGCGCGTGCTCATGCATGCATCATAGGCTATATAAGCTTTCCTCTCCTCCTGGCCAACAAAATCAACAGATTAGCAGCCCTGTTCACACCTCTTAGGGACAAAATTGATACAGAATTTTACACAAATGAAGACCATGATTTAGCTGCTCAGGAAAAAAAGGGTCAGTGGGGGAACATCTGTCAATGAGAATGGACAATTTATTCTTAAATCTTTCCACACCTCTTTATCCAAATGGGTTTCTGAGAAACAGATTATTTTCTGAGAATGGGGATGTCTTCCCTTAGTATATTAGTCATCCTCACAATACGCCTCAACTAGAAATAATAAGCAACTGGTGTTCAAGTGGGCAGATAAATGAAAAGTGGGGGAAAATGTAATGCCGATTGTGAGTGCAGATTATCAAAGCAGATAGAGAACTATATCTGCTTTCAATTAATAGTTTCAATTAATTTGCACATTAATTTTCCCACGCTGTAAAAATGTATATGTGCACATTGAAAGAGACAAACAGAAGCACAGCAACAGTAAAGTTGCTGCTATGAATTTTTTTTCTAATGAGATTCAAGAACTGCTATTTTGGCTCTTGACTATGCTCCTTGAGCTGCCTGGATCCACAATAAGGGACTAAGTCTGCTTCAAAATGATCACTTTAGGCTGCAAGTTGCTCAGCTGCCTGCATGTAAGTTCCTGCTATAATATCCTGGGATAGAGCAACAGCCTAAGGGGGTGACATTTTGCATGTCTCAGCTTGCCTGTGCAGCCAGGGAAAGAGACGGCACTATCACATTACATGGTCCCAGCCCACACTGCTCTCATTAACATGATTGTGGTGGTGACTCCGTAAGTCCTTTAACCATTCCACCTACGAGGCATGTTGTCGTAACAAATGGCAAATTAGCAGAGCTTTACAAATCACAGGATTTGCACAAGGATCATTTCCTCCGATCTTCCCAACAGTACTGTGGGAGTAGACCGAGTAAGCCACTACTGTTCCCATTTTACGGGTGAGGAATTTGAAGCTTACGGAGTTTCAGGAATTTGTTCACAGGCATGGCAGTGGGAAACGTGAGGGCTGGTCTTCTGACTCTAAGTCAGTGCTCTCTTGTGTTGCGTCACTAGGAATGATGAGCGATTCCAGAAGAGCTGCTTGACTATCAGGACTCTCTGCCTAGTCGTCACAATTTCGGTACCAACTCACTGAATTACAGGTCCTCTTTACTAAAGAAATGATCTAGCCAGCGAATAGACTGAACTCAGTCACAAAAAACATCATATGACAAATCGAACAGTTGGAAGAAATGTGTACAAGAATTCTCACAGTATAAGTTTCCGAGTCTTACTTAGACTTCATGTTCCTCCAACTATCTTTCTGCTGTTTTTTAACTATAGTCTGAGATTCTTATTACAGTTTTTTTTTTTCCTTTTGGGCAATTGGTATTATTTTGGATAGTGTGCCGCTAAGAAAGCAGAGTGCTTTTGTAGTCTAGGCTGCTAACAAAAACTATGTGCCTCTCATATAGTTTCCCCAGACTTAGGGCAAGTTGTAATGTACAGTTCAGTCTACAAAGCAATTCACACTCATCTGCACA